TGCGCACTCGAATTATGTGGATAAAGGAACAATTGGACGCATGTGAACAGACCGGGGTCGTTCATGACATAACAGGCCCTGAGTGTTCTCGCCATTGTACAGGACAAGAGGTGCGGTCCAGCTACCGGGAAGGACGCACGTGTTCACCACGCCGTGAGACGGCATGGACTCAGCCTCAGTGCAAACACCACCTCACTCCACACCTACCCTCCATTTTAATTTTATTACAAAACCTGTTTATTTGTTCTGACATGCTCATTGTCTCTGACGGCCTGTTATTTTACGACTGCGAAATCTGAGGGTTATATAACCACTGTGCTGGTGAGCGCTTGTTATTTTCTTCAAAACAAGAACCTGTGTCTCGTATATTGGCCGGCATTTGGTTAATATCATGTTTTAGAATAAGACTAGTATTCAAAGGAAATGTAACAGAAAAAATATCTTAATTTTCTAATTAAGTTGGTTTGGCAGATTTAGTTAATTTAGTTGAGTTTTTCACAATTGGGTCAACTAAAATCTTAATTTAGGCCTATAGAATTGCACCAAATAAACCTTATTTGAAAAAGGAAAGAATACTGAGGAAACTGAAGAGAAGGGGTCAACATGAATTACCACATAGTTTCATCTGCCGTTGGCAGTCGATCAAAAGCTGTTAGGCGGTTGCGAATTCTACCTACGCAACAATATCACTTAACAACTTAAGGTTTTTGTACCGAGAGTGCAATGGAAGAAGCAGTCTCTATTAAGCCTCTTCTTGAGTTCAGTCGGATATCATCACCTTCAACATGGCAAGGCCCACTTTACCGGCAATGAGAATGCTTAGCTCATTACCCATTCTAAAAACAGACCAACAGTAATAGGGTAAAGGAGAAAGCTTGTCGAGCATCAGAACAGTTTGGTTATTGTCCTGAACTTTCAAACTTGTTCAAGAGTTCATAATCAGAGATAACCACAGCAGCAAAAAATTAGCAATTATAAGGGGGTATAAACCACTCAATTGTTACTGACGCACGTCTGAGCATGAATGCGTAGGGCTCTCTATACTGGCACCAAATCGATATATCCACTGATTGTGTGCCCATCCGTTAGCTATATTTCAATTTATTCTTGGCTCGCCTTGTTTCCAGTGTGGGTGAGATTCCTGACGGCTGCGCAGTTGAAATCATGGTCCTTTTCATAGGTGCGAGCAACAACTTGCGATAATTCGTCGCCCTGCCGTACAGCCGGCTTATGTTCATGTATGCGCGATACGAGCATGCGTTCAGTTTGACCTGTGTAGTTACGAGGACAACTAAGGCATGTCATGCGGCTCAATGCCCCAGATGGCTTGTTGGGATTAAGCCGGTCTTTGTGAAATTATCTCCTGTACGAGTTTGAAAACTCAGGTCACTAGACAAACTGGTCTGGAGCGGCCAGTCAAACGCCTTTACATATGCAAACACACGGAATGCCAACTTTGTCATTCACTCGTTAACATTCATTTGACTGTAGAACTAAGGAAAATCTTGCTCCCAGCAATCGTTTTTAGGAATGAATCTTCCCCTTCCTCCCCCCCTTCAGACCGGCGACAGCGCACCAGACATAAGACGTCGGTCGGCTTCTTGCTTTTATAGGAGGGATATCTGACTCCTCAAGCCGAATGAGTAATCTATCAATACCTTTTATTCTTAAAGGCACGTTACTGGGTTGGAGCTTTCAACGTACCCCTGGGAATGATGTTTGTGACTGTCATGGAGCGCATCTTCTTCCGCAGCTACCACCTACCCACGCTAAATATACCCAAATTCAATGAAATATCAGTCTCCTCGTGGATAC